CCCCCCCCCCCCCCCCCCCCCCGGTATGTTTGCCATATATCAGGGTGGAAGATGGAATCGAGGCAGTTGGCTGCGGTGCTTGATGCAAGCCTTCCCCACGTGGAATTCATATTTGAGTAGAATTCGAGAGAGATTCCAAATTCGCTGTTCTGGGTGTTGGTAGTTACCCATCTATCTCTCTTCCACCCTTTCCCCTACACAACTTAGAAGGTGAAGGTGAATTTCTTCTTGATTGTTTGTTAAAAAAAATACAGAATTGTCCACTAGCTCTTACCCTTTCTTGACTCACTCATTATACAAGCTAAGCAACAGTTTAATGTTGCAGAATTGTCAGCTAGCTCTTTCCCTTTTCGGACTCATTCATTATGCAAGTAAGCAGCGGTTCGGCGCTACACTGCCTTTGCATCGATTCCTTCTTTGTTTTGAGTCTCACTCCTACCTATTCCTACCGTTGAGACCCCAATTTTCAAAGTGGTGAATAACGAGGATAGGAGTCTCTTGCTTGTTTTAACTCATTGTTGATATATATATATATATATATTTTTGATAACCTGTAGAGTAATAGGATTCAAATAATTAAAGAAACATCAGTGACAACTAGAAAGGTGGGATTGGGCCTCGACAAAGAAGCAAGCACGCAAAGGGAGCTTAAAAGGCAAGGTACATGCCCTACCCCTATGCCTCACTCATGCTTTAACCTAACGACGAAGCAAAGTCCCTATCACCGCTCCCACAAACCGCCGATGTCCAAACAACCCTCCGTGTTCGCCTCATAGCAACACCACCTCCACAAATTACCACTCAAGAACTTTGACTTAACTTACCCCGTGGTTCAACAGTAGTCTTTTCTATTCTTTATCTAATTTATAATCATTCAAGATCTGTGAGATTCAACTTTTTCATCATCAAAATTCTACGTGTTCGGGAAATTTAAAAGACTAAAAAAAATTTAGAATAACTGAAACGATTCGGGAATAGAGGTATATACTTGCTTAGTCTATCACGCAAGGAATTTTCATCGCTAAATTTTGAGTTACATGCCAATTTGATGCAAATTTTGAAACTATTTCCAAACCATTGCCAGAAATCAATCAGCCAGCACAAACAGCATTCAATTTTTCAATAGCTTCATCAAATTTCCGAATCTAAAAATTACTGCGAGAACTTTGAATTCATACTTATCAGAAACAGAGCATCTCAATCAATCAGAGACAGATATGAACTGATAATTTTTTTTTTTAATAAGTAGAGGATCTCTGACTAAGATCTAGAATCGGATCATTTGTTTTTTGGTACCCTAATCGGTTACAGATGGCAAGAGGATGATCAAGATAAGCCAGATAGATATAGAATCACATACTGTACACTAAAAAGAGACTGAGAGTACCAAATTTTGTTTCAAAATTCTAAACTATTTTGATTCCATTCTGAAACTACCTCTACCGACGAAGACGACTATGAGCGAGTCATCATCTTCTTGAACTCCTCGAAATTTACATGGCCGTCACCGTCAACATCGACGGAACTGATCATCCGGCAACAATCTTTGAGGCTACATTTTTCACCGAGGCGCTTGAGAACAGAGTGCAACTCCTTGGCCGAGATTAGGCCGTTCTTATCGACGTCGAACAGATCAAAAGCGTCTTGCAGATCTTTGCTACCTCCGCCAGTAGAAGAGAAGTTCTGATGAAACTCGGCGAACTCATCTAGGTCGATGAATCCATTTCCGTCCTTGTCAATCTCCGACATAATGCGGCGGATCTCATCGTCGGAGATCTTGCCGCCAAGTTCCCCAAGGGCAGCAGCGAGCTCCTTAATGGAAATCTTGCCATCGCCGTTCTTATCAAACTTCTTGAAGACCATGATAACCTCGTCCATGGAGCCCAAGGCTCCTCCAGGATTTGGGGAGCTTGGATTTGAAACCGACGTCTTCGCCATGGGCATAAAAGCTTCACGAAGAATCAAATAGATTAAATTTGAATTGAGAGAGAGAGAAACAAAACTCAAAATAAAAACACTTTTCCGATTTTCTTCCTTCCCGATTGAGAGATTTGCTAGAGATATATATAGAGAGAGTCGAAACCTTCCACGCGGTTTCCTCGCGGTATTGCAGGCGGTGATCGGGTAAGTGACAGTGTACGAATGTTAGAGTATTAACTACTATTTATTTCTTATTAATATTTTCCAACCGTTATTAGTTATTTTAAAATTTTAGTGGAAAAAAAAAATTAATTTTTATCAATATATTTTTCGAATACATCAATTTTCATTATAATTTTTAATGAAAGATCATTTTAAAAAAAAAAACAATTAACTTGTTATATTTATTTATAAGTGTTAGCTTTCACAAAAATTTTCAAATATTTAGATTTTGATATATACGTGAATATAAGATTTATATTAATTGATATTGAATAATAATTCAATATATTACCTAATATTTCGAGAGGTAAATAAATTTCAAATGTTATAAAATTAAATTACTAATCAATCCAAATACTCGATCCACAAAAATTAAGGCATTAAATTTACCACTTATTATTATTATATATATATATATATATATATTTCTCCAATGATTTCGACTCATCGTTGATCCACAACCATTAAAATTCTGCCACGTGGCATTGGAGAGTGAGATCCGCAAGACATTGTTCACAAATTAAGAAAGTGGCAGGCCGGGCAGGTCATTGAGCTGCCCTTTTCAAAATCAAGTTTCCGTGGTCCTGAGCGCACCTGATTGTGACCTTTTTCCCGCGGGAATTAAATTAATGCTGTTTCCTAAAGTTTTTATTTTCTCCTTTTTCGAAAAAATTGCTTCAATAAATTTTAAAATTAAAGCATATTAGAAATTTAATAAATTTATGCTAAATTATATAAAATACTTATAAATTATAAATTTTGTATGATATGTACAAAATATTAAAAACCACTAATATGGTTAATTTTGTAATATTTTTTAAATCATAAGTTATTTATTTTTTAAATTGAGGTATTTTCTATTTATATCTGTATTAATAGTAATTATTATTAAATGTAAACAAAAGATTTTCAATCATTATCAACTATGTTTAGTTTCTTATCAATGGACGTGGGATTTCACAATACACTTTTTTCTCTCCAAACGATGTAGATTTCACCATTCACCAATTTCGAAATTGAGCGTCCTCGTTCCCCTCTCGATCGATGTGATCTCACAATTCACTCCCTTTGGAGCTCAGTGTCCTCGCTGCCACTAGTTTCTCTCTGATCGATATTAAATCTCACAATTTTCATGTTTTTAAACAAAACATTTGATTTTTTATTCGAGTTTTAAAAATAAAAAAAATTAAAGTAGGGTTTGTTTTTTTTTTTTAAGAAAAAATGTCAAAATAGTATAACTCTTTTAAATTTAATTTTCAAAAATTGAAAGTCAAATAGTTATTAAACTAAAAAATTTCAAATATTTATGAAAGGTCAAAGTAAAATGCATAACAATAAATAGATATACATAGAGATGGGGAAGCAATCAACAATGGCTCCCTTTATTCATAGCACAGCGCCAAGTGGAAGCAATCAACAATGGCTCCCTTTATTCATAGCATAGCGCCAAAGGCCTTGCTGTCTATCAGTTGACAGCAAGGTAAGTATCAAGTACAGTTGAGATCTTAGAAACAAATTCCAGGTAAGCTTCTGGGGACGGGATGTTGTCGTTGGCCTTCTCGAACTCGAACGACCAATTCACAATGGCGCCTCCGTTTTCTCCGTCATCGGAGGCTCGGAACTTCGACCTGAATAAGGTGTATTGGCTCAATATGTCTCCTTCAACAGCTTCGTACGTGATCGACTTGTTTTCTTCGTCTACATCTGCCACTTTTACCTTTGTTTTGGTTGGCCCAACTAACCGAACCAACAAAGACACAGGTAGAACGAGTATTTATAAGCTTAATCTTCAAAAATAAAAACACAAAATCGAATGAAGTCGTACCAATGTCGTAAGTCCAGTGCATGAGGGAGCCAGGAGTGAAGTCATTTCCTTCAAGGAATTCAAAGCTGTGGACTTTCTTAGAGAATATTTGAGGCAAATGGTGCATTTTGTGCCTAAAGAAACCATAGAATTTGTCAGCTGAAGACTGTATTTTAACATCAGCACAGACTTGGGAAATTTGAGCCATTTTGTAATCAAAATATGCATTTTGGAGAACCCAAATTGGAGAGTTTATATGGAAGCTCTTAGAATCTCGCAACTTGTTTATGTGACCACTCCAAATTCTTCATCTTTAGTTTCTCTGGTTCTTATAATCTTTTGTAGCATAAAAATAAAAAATAAAAAATAAAAAAAAAGTTAGGCATCTTTCCATTTATACGGAGGGGAGAGCGACCGAGGTAGACGGTTTGAAAAAGAATGCTACTAAGAGGATAGAACAGAATCTCGATTCTCAGGAGAGATTTAACTATTCCAAATACAGTATTATAGGGTATTGTTCGAGATGAGTTGGGTAGGGCCCCAAAGGTAGTTCCTCCATCTATCTCTCTTCCACCCTTTTCCGGCTCACTCATTATGCAAGCAAGCAGCGGTTCAACGTTACACCACTTTTGCATCAAGTTCTTCCCTCTTTCGGGTCTCACTCCCACCTATTCCTATGTTAAGGATATTTAGTATTAAATTGTTTGCTTTTTAACGTTAGGTATCTTTTCATTTATTACTCTTTTTACATCCTTATAATTTATTTGATTATAAATAAAGAACTTTCACCATTTATGTGGGGTGGTTTAAGCAAACATTCTCATCTACTGTCCAACTATAGAGAAACCATATGGCTTTTTATTGAATTAACTCACGAGAAAAAATTGTTCATTTCATGCATGTTCTAGATTGTGGCTATGACTTTCTGTCCGGTCACCTTATCAGGTCTATTGACCGCTATCTATTTTACTTGCATGTCTTCGATATTTAAAAACTTTGGAAATTTGTTTAATGAGTAAAATAACTTCCATGAAATGAACTTTCGTGAGGGAAGTAATTAAAACCTTTTCGATTCTTCGTTAGCTTTATCCTCTTGCCATTTTTTGATTCGTTTTAGTGTTATCAAACCCTATGAGTATGCTACTTATTTGTCTTTTAACTGCTAGCTATCAAACCAACACGAATCGTTTTAACATGTTTGATATTACATTTTAAGAGCTTCAACCCACGTACATTTTAATATTTCATGCATTAATTTCTTATTGAATGATTGAGCTATCAAACCAACACGATTGAATGATTGAGATTGGTTTGATGGATTTGGAAACCTAAATGTGCGGATTCATTAATATCGAGTCGTTGTCTTGCTTTATGTGAACGGTTTGTAGCTTAAATTTGGTTTAGAAGTAAGATACCCATACGTTTGAATTTGACATCAAATTGTGAGGAAGATTGATAAATTCTCGATAACCCACCTACTGTTTCCATCTCTAAGTTTCGTTCTTTTTTATTGTACGAAGATTAACCCTTTGTAATTATTAATGTGGTATTGAACTTAAAACTGCACTATAAAAAAGTTTTCACATCTTTATAAGTAATGCTCTGCTTCCCTCTCCAACCAATTGAGAAGTTTCCACACTCTCCAATGGGATCTCTCAATCCACCCTTTTGGGGTCCCAGTGTCCTTGCTGTTACACCGCCCGATGACTTATTTTGGTAACATTTGTAATAGCCTAAACTCACCGCTAATACATAATGTCCACTTTAGTCCCATGAAATATAGTCATCAGTCTCACGATTTTAAAACGTGTATGTTCAAGAGAGGTTTCCAAATCCTTATAACCTACGTTTCGTTCCTCTCTCCGACCAATATGGGACATTTATAAGTAATGCTCTGCTTCCCTCTCCAACCAATATGGGACATTTGTATTAATTGATATCGAATAATAATTCAACGTATTAACTAATATGTTCAAGAAATAAATAAAATTCAATTAACGAATAAAATCAAATCACGAACCAATCCAACAAAAGCACAAAATAAGAGTCCCAAAAATTAGGGCATTAAATTTACCACTTATTATATATATTTAGACTCAAAGTTGATCCACAACCATTAAAATTCTGCCACGTAGCATTGGAGGGTGAGATCCACAAGACATTTTTCACAAATTAAGTGGCAGGCCGGGCAGGTCATTGGCTGCCCTTTTCAAAATCAAGTTTCCGTGGTCCTGAGCGCACCTGATTGTGACTTTTTTTCCCGCGTGAATTAAATTAATGCTGTTTCCGAAAGTTTTTATTTTCTCCTTTTTCGAAAAAATAGCTTCAATAAATTTTAGAATTAAAACATTATAGAAATTTAATAAATTTATGCTAAATTCTATAAAATATTTATAAATTATAAATTTTGAATGATATGTACAAAATATTAAAAACTACTTATATGGTTAATTTTGTAATGTTTTTTTAAATCATAAGTTTTTTATTTTTATTTTTTAATTGAGGTATTTTCTAGGCATTTAGCCATAAATTTATATTCGTATTTAAAAGTAATTATTATGAAATTGAAGTTTCACAAAAAAAAAGGAATTATTATTAAATGTGGTCGAGCGTATTCGTGGGAAAGCGCGTTGAGTTCATAGTGGGTCGTAAATACTCGGAAATTTTATTTTTTTAAATATTATCTAATATTTTTAATTAATTAGTCAACTATATTATTACAAATAATTCAGCATTATCCACTACAATCTACAACTAATATATATATTTTTTATTTACTTTCCTATTTTATCGAGAAAAAAAAAACTAATAGAGGTATTTAAATCTAGGATGACAAAATGATAACTATTTGATGGTAATTATTTTTTAATTTTTGTTTTAAAAAAATAAACTCTAACAGTTTTTCGTTCTTATAAACAATGTTTTGTTTCACTTACTAACGGAGGTTAGATCTCACAATCTACCCTCCTCGAGAAGAGGTTTTCACACCCTTAAAAACAATGTTTCGTTCGACTCTCCAATCGATAATCGATAATCGACGTGAGATTTCACAATTCATCTTATTTGGGATCCAGTGTCCTCGCTGTCACTCGTTCACTTCTCAAACTGATGTGGGATTTCACAATCCACCCTCTTTAGAGCTCAGCGTCTTTGCTAGCACTCGTTTCTCTCTAATCGATGTGAAATCTCAAACGAGAGTATAATTAATAAAACTTATTTTTAAAATGTTAAAGAAGGTGAAAGGAAACATGCATAGCAATACATAGATATGCATAGACATGGGGAAGAGCAATGAGTGTCGCCAACAATTGCTCCCTTTATTCAACATAGCACACACCAAAGGCCTGGTTTATATCAGTGGACAGCAAAGTAAGCATCAACTCCAGTTTGAGATCTTGTTGACTTTTGGCCATTGAGAAGAAAAGTCCAGATAAATCTGGTTGACTTTTTGCAATTGAGAGGAAAACGTGGACAAAGTAAAAAAAGGGCCGAAGAAAACAAAAAGAAAATAACATAAAAAGGGAGGGAGAAATATTTGCGCTCAAGACCCAATACTTATTTATGTTTCCGATTAAGTATTTAAATAACAAATTTAATCCTAAAATTAGCAGTGACACAAATCTTGCCCACAAAGTTGGCCCAAATAGAACGAGGAGGGTTAATTCAGATATCCAAAAAACTAGAAGAACAACTAATTAAGTTTAGAAAATTGGAGCGTTAATTCATATATCCAAACAATCAAAAAGTTGGAAACGTGTGAATAACTAAGGAAAACTCAAGTTTAGAAAACTTGTCCATCGCTAACAGAGAGAGGTTTCCACACTCTTCAAATATGGGGATTGAGCCCCTTGTGGACCAAGCGTTCTCACGGGCACACCGCCCGATGACAGGTTGTGATACCATTTGTAACAGTTCAAGTTCACTACTAATAGAGAGAGGTTCCCACACTCTCCAATGTAGGGATTGAGTCTTCTTGGGACCTAGCATCCTCACTGGCACACTGCTTGATGACTGGTTGTGATACCATTTGTAACCGTCTAAGTTCACCACCAACAAAAAGAGGTTTCCACATCCTCCAATGTGGGGATTGAGCCCTCTTGGAGACCCAACGTTCTTGCAGGCATACCAACCGATGACAGGTTCTTATACCATTTGTAACAACCCAAGTTCACCACTAACAAATATGGTATGTTTGAACCTGTTACGTATAGCCATCTGCTTCACGGTTTTAAAACAAGTTGCTAGGGAGAGGTTTCCACATCTTGTGAGGGCTATGCTTCATCCCTTCTCGAACTAAAGTGGGAGCTCTAAAATATGAGAAACACATAGTAAGTGAAATGTTTTAAAAAAATCGAGAATATTTCTTATATTATTAAAATTTGTAAGTGAGATAGAATGTGTTTGAAATAGAATATGAAATCACTTTTGTTTTTGTTGTTGGATTGTTATGGGCATGAGTGTGCGTGGAGTTGTATTAAAATGAACTTTTGTTAGTTATATATTTGAAGAGGAGAAGAAAACATTTCTTATAAGAATGTGAAAACTTGAGGTTGACAGCGAGCCATAACGAGCAAAAACGGACAATATCTACCAGTGGTGGACTTGGGCTATTACAAATGGTATCAAAGCAAGACATCGGGCGTTGTGCCAGCGACGATGTTGGCCCCTAAAGGGGGTGAATTGTGAGATCCCACTAGTTGGAGAGGGGAACGAAGCATTCCCTATAAGGGTGTGGAAATCTCTCCCTAGTAGACGAGTTTTAAAATCGTGAGGCTGACAACGAAACGTAACGAGTCAAAGCGGGCAATATCTACTAGCGGTGGACTTGGGCTATTACAGATGATATCAGAGCCAGACATCGGGCTTTGTGCTAGCGAGGATGTTGGCCCCGAAAGAAGAGGATTGTGAGATCCAGCATTGGTTGGAGAGGGAAACAAAGCATTTCTTACAAGGGTGTGGAAACCTCTCCCTAGTAGACGTGTTTTAAAACCGTGAGGTTGATGGTGATACGTAACGAGTCAAAATGGACAATATCTACCTGCAGTGGACTTGGGATGTTACAAATGGTATCAAAGCAAGACATCGGGCGTCGTGCAAGCTAGGATGTTGTCCTCTAAAGGGGGTGGATTGTGAGATCCAATTGGTTGGAGAGGGGAACGAAGTATTCCCTATAAGAGTGTGGAAACTTCTCCCTATTATATGCGTTTTAAAACCGTGAGGCTAACGACGATACGTAACGAGCCAAA